CACTTTAGCGTAAGGTTATTCAAATTCACTAAATGGTTATCGAGGAAAAAATGAAAAATTAGCTGAAAATCTCGTTTTTACTTGATAATATAATGATAATATCGTATAATTGTCTGAAATAAATGCAATTTTAAACATATTAAAAAGTTTTACGCTCATTATTAATAGAGATTGAAACTAAATATTTTTTGTTTCGAAGTTGAAATCAGGGCATATTCACTGTCAAAAGTCAGTTAAAAAATTTTCCGTATTATTCGTTATTTCTTATTTCAAATTGTCTCTTGTACCTCCAAAACATCCTTAAATAAATAAAAGTAAATTTGACCACGCATTTTTATTTTATTGTAATTGTTTCATTCGACTTCTACTATTTTATTCAAAAGTGAGCATAAAAGGCCCTAATTACACTTTCATTAGTGATTAGGCGAGCTCATACATTTTCTGCGAGATTTCCAGTGGGGGGTCGCTGTCCTCCCCTGCCCCCCTGGATACGCCCATGCTACTACCAGTTGGCCTTTACTTTAAGTAGTACATCTAAAATTCCGTATCTTCATTTCCACGAACTTCGACAAGCTCACGTTCCCAAAAGTTTTCTTTGTAAAATATTCGATCTATTCACTAGCCTGTCCTATAAATACCCTAAAAGCACCAACATAAAATTGAACTGCCTTGAGAACGCGTTTCAGCCGAACGAAGACAACGTAGACGAAGACCGTATCGAACAAGTCGACCAGGATGTTCAACGTCTACTAAGGGCAGCATACTAGTTTCGTCAGACCGACGAACCCGAATGAGGTTAGAGATTAGTGATGTCTCTCCTGTTTCCTCTGATAAACCGCAGGACCAAACTTTGGTTGTACACATCAGTCATTAGACCGATTATGACGTATACCGCACCTGCGTTTTCATACGATGTCAAGACACATTTGAATAAACTCCAAGTTATGCAAAACAAGGCGTTGAGGCTCGTTACAAATGCTTCTTGGTTCGTTTCAAACGGATTTCCATTGCGTTCCATTGGAACTTCATCAGCATGCTTTTTTCCATACCATTTGGTTTTCATTTCCAATTATTTCATTGGAATTCTTTGGGTAATAAAACTTTTCCATTCATATCTAAGAATATTAATAGAATTATTCAAAATGGAAACAATTGTTTTTCCATTTATATTGAATAGTTTTAAGTTTTATACAGAATTTATAAAATTTGCATTGATTCCCATTGAAAATCAATGGAAACCTTTCCTATGTAAATATTAATGGAATTATTGTAAATGGAAACAATTATTTTTCCAATTATGCCAAATGGTTTTGAATGGAATTTACAAATTTTCCATTGATTCCGATTGAAGTTCAATGGAAGTTTTTCCTACGGGTAGAGATACGGTTAGAGGTACTAAACATAAATGTCCCCATTGTGTACATTTGTATGTGCAGTATGTAGCCGAACGGGAGGAATAATGATTGAAATAAAAGGTTTGATAAGTCTTCTACATATCTATACCCGCACTTTGAATACAATGGAAAATTAATGCAGGGAGTGCATAAGCTATTTGATTGCTTCCATGGAAGTNCAGCAGGTTGGATCAACGATCCTAATGGATTCTCTTATTACCATGGTGAATACCATCTATTTTACCAACATAATCCTGACAACGCTACTCCTGGGAACATACATTGGGGCCACGTTAAAAGTGAAGATTTGGTTCATTGGAAACATTTGCCAATCGCTCTTTCTCCGGATAAGCTCTATGATAATGGCGGTGTTTTCTCCGGTAGTGGCATAGTGTTCAAAAACAGTCTTGTACTTATGTACACAGGAAACGCAAATCAGTCTAATGGAACTTACTTCTCATCTCAAAGTCAAGAGTTAGCTTTTAGTTCAGATGGTGAACGTTTTATAAAATATACCAACAATCCTGTTATTGCATTTCCTCCTATAGACGGAGGAAATGCTTTCCGTGATCCAAGTATATGGCAATATAAGGATATGTGGTATGTTATTTTAGGAAATCAAAATAATTTAACACAGCAAGGAAGAGCACTTATTTATTCTTCTTACAACCTACATACTTGGAATTACGTCGGAGTTTTAGCAGAGTCAACAGGCAACTTTGGATACATGTGGGAATGTCCCGACTTTTTTGAACTCAAAGGGCGATATATACTGTTAATGTCTCCTCAAGGAATTAAAGCGAATGGTGATGATTACAAAAATTTATATCAAACTGGCTATTTTGTTGGTTCCTACAACTATCAAACAAATAACTTTTCGCACAATAACGTTTTCATTGAGATGGATCATGGTCATGATTTCTATGCGGCTCAAACAATGGAAGCGCCTGATGGTCGACGAATAATGATTGCTTGGATGGACATGTGGGAAAGCGCTTATTTAGAGCAGGAGGATGGTTGGGTAGGAGCCCTAACTATACCTAGGGCACTGACTCTATCACCATCAGGAAAAATACTTCAAAAGCCAGTTGATGAATTGAGGAGTCTTCGAACATCCACCTTATTACGTTCTACCATAAATGTAAAAGGAGTATCAAAACTGCTTGACGCTCGTAGTGCTGAAATACTTATTAAGGCGACATTTAAAAGTACTGTCGCTCGTGTTGGAATACAAATAGATATAGGCAATTGTTCGAAAGTTTTAGCCTACCTAGATAAATCTAATAATAAATTTGTACTGGATCGCGGTGATAATGATCCACGAAAAACACTGATAGATGTTGTAAACCGAGATAATTTTGAAACTTTAAAGATAAGAATATTCTTGGATAAATCTTCTATTGAAATATTTTTAAACGACGGTGGAACAACATTTACCAGTAGAATTTACCCAAGTTCAACTCCTGCTGTGTATGCGTTATCTGAAGGAGCCGTAACTCGAATGAAGGTGGTTGCGTATGAACTTAAAAATATATGGAAAGCTAGGTCATAAAATCAACTAAATTCATTTGTTTGTTTTCTTTTGCGGTTGCTGTATATTAAATAGAAAAATTTTATGTTTACCATATTTTAATATTGTTTATTACTAACGAAAACAGTAAAATAGTTTATATATTTCCTCTTTATCAGTGCCAATTATATGAGTTTGTGTACCTTGCAATATTTTCTGAACACTTTTCAATTTTATTTTGTTACAACATTGTCATTCTATTAAACCAAAGATTAAATTCTAATAAAAAACGACTTGACTGTTTTGGTAATTGTTTATTATTTCATTGGTTCTGTACAACAGTAACATATGTATGCAATAAATAGAAGCTATCAAAGAGTAATGGTCTTTATTAATAACCAGATGATGATTACATGATAAAATAAGTGACTGTGAGATAGAAAAAGGATTAGAGACTTCCTAATATTTGAAAAATAACAATTTATACGGCAGATGGAGTCTCTCAACGAAGAGGGTGTTTTCATAAAGTCGATGTAAAAATCTCTAAAAATTTGGAAATAACCTGATAGAAATGATTTAAATTTAAACCCAAGACATAGAACAAAAGATCAACATACCAAAGAAAGTTAATTCCAAAGGAGAAGTATATAATGTATCAGAATTGAAAAATATTGGAATTTTTGTTAATCTAAAATTTATTTACTTGATCTTAAAATAATAATTCAACGTCTGAGGAAAAAGATAATATTTTTTGATAATTTTTTAATTTACTTCTACTAAATTTTAAACGTTGATTAAATAAGTAGAAACTTAGT